GGAGGGGGAGGGGCGGAAGAGGGAGCCAGGGAGGGGGTGAGCCTGGACCCCCGCCTTGGCACTCTTTCAGGACAGTAGGGCCCCTACCAGCTGCCTGCCTGGACTTGGAGGTCCATTGGGAGGTGAAGGGAGCTGCCCACTCTCTCCAGAACTTGGCTCCCTGCCATCCTCGACTCTGTCCAGAGGCTGGAGGAAGAATCTGCGCTTGGACCCAGAGTCCAGGTGGGCTGCATGACCAGGGCCACTCACTCCCCCCACCACCCGGCCTCGGTTTCCTCATCTGTACACTGAAGAACAGGAGGGGAGTTGGGAGCGTGGACTGAGCAAGCTCAGCTGCTAGAGTGCTCACCCAGGGAGCACTCCCTCCTTCTCCCAGGTGGGCGGAATCAACCTTCCTTCCTTCCCTCCTTCCTTCCTTCCTTCCTTCCTTTCCTCCTTCGGACTGAACCCAGAGGTGCTCTACCGCTGAGCCACATCCCCAGCTCTTTTTCCTATTTTATCTGGAGACAGGACCTTGCCAAGTTGCTGAACTCAGGATCCTCCTGACTCAGCCTCCCAGACCAGGAGAAGAACCAGAGGAAGGTCCCGGTCACAGCCTGGGAAGGTGGTGAGCATCCCAGGTGGGACCAGGGGACAGCRTGGTTCCAAGGAGCCAGGGATTGCCTGCCTCAACCATGGGGCGGGAGGAGGAGAGACCCCCAAGCCACAGGGCCTACGTTTATGTCCGGTAAGAGCCGTTAAGGGAAGCAGTCAACAGGTACCAAGAACTTGCATGACGCCTGGCACCCGGCCAAGGGCTTTTGGGCATCATCTCATTAAATCCTCTCCGAGGTGGGCAGTCTTGTCCCCTCATTCTGTAGGTGAGGAAACTGAACCTCAGAGACGTGAAGCAATTTTCCTCCAGGCACACAGCCCGGAAGGAGCAGAAGTGGAACTTGAATTCTGACCCCTGGCTCCACAGCCAGGGCCCCCACCTTCCAGGGTCTGGGGACGGAACAGACGCAGGGAGAGTGACGCTGGGGTATGTTTACTCAGATGGCTCTGAGCTTCTGGCTGGCTCCTTGGACACAGGGTGACCTGGCGGTGAATATCACAGGGCATGAATGGGGTGCTCCACGCCAAGGGTCCCTGACCCAGAGGATGGTATGGCAGTCACCATATGGTGGACCCTTTGTCTCTGCTGGGTGCCCGGATCCCACCTGAGACACAGCAGGATGGGGGTCCCATTGAGACCAGCATGGATGGGTCACAACCTGGCCCCAGGGACACTGCACCTTTTGACCAACTTGACTAAGACTAACTGGGCTTGGGCTTGGCCAGCGCTCAGATGGGGTGGAGCTGTGTGCCGTGCACCTGTGGCCAGCAGTGGGCTGAGTGCAGTGCCCGAGTGGTCTCACCGGGGTCCCCTAGCATGCTGTCACCTTCTCCACTTTGCTCATCCTTGGTCACAAGGCAAGTGCGTGCCAGGGTCAGACGTGAACTCAGGTTGGTTGGGCTCCCATGGGACTCTCGGGCACCCYGGGGCTCTTGATGACCCCCCCATGGACACCTAGAGAGGACACTCCACCTCAGGCTGAAGGGTCGGGCCAGGGAGTCCTTGGGGTCAACTCCATCTGCTGGCTCAGCCAGGGCTCCCAGCGGACTCAAAAGAGGGACAAGAGCGTGAGACTTGGGGTGGAAGTGCTGGTAGTGACCAGGGGGGGCCCTGAGCCAGGGCCATGGCCAGGGATGGGAAGACAGGTGACAGGTGGGACCTGCTGCCTGGAGCTGAGCAGGGAGCCAAGCAGACCCCCAGAGTCGGGTGGTGTGACGTCCTAGACAGAGACAGCCGAGGAGCCGAGTCCCAGGCAGCCCTGGGGGACACGCCCACAGCCCTGGGTGCCCGTTRGGGGCACTTCATGTGGGGAGTCGGGTTTGGGACTCAGGATCCCGTGAGGAGTGAATCGGTGACATTGCTGAGTGGAGATAGAGGGATGAGGGGACGGCCACACTCCCTCACAGATATTTACCAGTTTGTCACCATGAGGGTRCAGGCCCTGGGAACCCAGTGAGCCAGACACGGCACCGTCCTCTGGGGCCCAGACCAGGACGAGAGCTCTGCAGAGGGTCAGGTGAGCCCTGCGAGGGCACCAGGGAAGGGAGGGAGGGGACAGGAGGGTTCTCAGGCCTGGGGAGGACAGGAGCACCTCTCTGAGAAGGTGACACGGGGCAGAGGAGCTGAGTCCTGAAGGAGTCGGGGAGGCACCTGGAGTCTGCAGAGGGAAGGACTCCCCTGTGTTCTGAGGGGTGGGAGCCCGGGCAGAGAGCCAGCGTCCCCCGGGGCCTCCGTGAGGACCCTCTGTCTGTGGGGATGGAAGCAGGGAGGCCCCGAAGTGGCAGGCAGGGGACAGGGGTGGCAGGGGTGGGTGGGGGCCAGAGCGGGTGTGCTTGGTGGCAGGGACTGGCCCATGGAGACCCTTCCCAGAAGGATGGTGTTGGTCACCAAGATGGAGCTTGTCAAGGGGTCAAGTAAAAGGAAGGCTGAGCCGTAGCCTCGGGACTTGGGAATTGGCAGGTGACCCCAGGACAAGGAGCCACTGGAAAGTGAGGAAGAGTGAGCTGGCAAGAGACTCGTCTTTTCTCCTCCTCCTCTTCCTCTTCATCTCCATCCTCCTCCTCCTCCCCTTTCTCCTCCTCCTGCTCCTCTTCCTTTCCTTCCTCCCCTTCCTCTTCCTCTTCCTCCTCCCCTCCTCCCTCTCCTCCTCCTCCTGCTCCTCTTCCTCTCCCTCCTCCCCTCCTCCTCTTCCCCTTCTTCCTCTTTCCCCTCCTCTTCCTTTCATCCTCCCACTTCTTCTTCCTCTTCCTCTTCCCCCTCCTCTTCCTCTTTATCCTCCTCCTAATCCCCCTCCTCTCCCTCCTCCTCTTCCTCCCTCCCTCCCTCTCTTTTTCTTCCTCCCCCTTTTCCCCTTCCTCCTCTGGTGCCTCTCCCTCCTCCCCCTTCTCCTCTTCTTCCTCTCCTTCTGCTCTTCCTTCCCTCTTCCCCTCCACCTTTTCCTCCCCCTCCTCTCCCTCCTCCCCTCCTCTTCCCCCTTCTCTTTTCTCTCCCTCCTCCCCCACCCCTCCCCTCCTCCTCTTCCTCCACTCCTTCCTCTCCTCCTCCTCTCCCTCCCCTCCTGCTCTTCCTCTTCCTCTGACCCTCCATCTCCTCCTCTCCCTCCTCCTCTCCTCCTCCCCTTCTCCTCCTTCTTTGTTACACGAGGTACTTGGGTGTGAGCGGAGGCTCAGGGGAAGGACCAGCATAAAGTCTGAGGGTCTCATGGGGTGGCAGGGAAGTGGCCTTGACCAGGGAGACCCTCCTTTCCCAGAGCCTGAGGGGTCACCCTCCGCCCCCACTCCTCCTTAAGGAGGGGTCCCTGTCTGGAGCGTCTGGGTGGGGGGTGGAGTCAGGCTGGAGAAGGAGGAGCCTCTGTCCTGTGGACTCTCCCATGGGACTCCGTGACAGCTACTTGGGAGACACACAGGCAACTGGCTGGGCATTGGGTTGGCTGCAGGGTGGAGGCCAGAGGGACCGGGTGTGGCMGGCAGGCAGGTGGGACAGGGGAGCTGGCGGGGCCGTAGGAGGCCGGCAGAAGCAGCAGCAGTGCGGGGCTGCCCGACCTGGGCACCGTCGTGCACCTGGCCTGCCTGGAGAAGGGTGAACAGGGTGCTGGGACTGTCCTCTGGAAGACGAGGGGACGCAGGCTCACATGCGATCCTCTCAGAGCTCCACCCGTCACCCCAGGTGCGCTGTCTGTGGGCGCCCGGGTCCAGCTGCCCAGCCCATGCCCACGCACCGGGGGAGCGGAGGTGTCTGCTGGCCGGTGCCGCCCAAACCGTCTGCCAGGCGTGAGGGTCAGCGGCGTCTGGGGACACACCAAGCCCCCGCCTCTTCCCCTGTCAAGTCCGGCTGCTGTTAAGTGCGTCCTGAGCTGGCTCAGGGCTGCCGCGCCCTCCACGCAGACYGTCCCGTGTCCTGGGCCTCGTCCTCCTGCCATGGGCCCACAGTGGCCCTGCCAGCTCTCTCCTGGACTCGGGTCCTGCCTGCCTCCTGCCGCCCCAAGGCTGCCTGTTCCCTGCGCCCAGAGCCCACCTGGGCCTCCTGGGAGGTGCTCAGTGTTTGCTGAAAGAATGGAGAGGACGGGTGCCCTCAGAGACCCACGACCATCTGTCCACCACGGCGCACCTACTCCACCCCCAGAGCTGGTCGGCGCCCCTTCCCAACATGCCAGGACCCCACCCACCCCGCGCCCAGGCCCCCCTGCCACAGGCCGCGTCACCTGACGTCCCTCTGGCAGCTGCGGGGCCACAGTGTCCTCCCCTGGAGGCCCCTGCAGTCCCTCCTGCCCCCTGCGATGAGCTGGGAGTCAGCTGCTGCCCGCTCAGGACTCCACGCTGGGTCCCCRACACTCAGGGCCTCACGGCCAGCCCTGCCCGCACCTCTGGGGATCCACCTTGGACCCTCTTCTCCCTCTCGCTCTCTGCTCTGCCTGCGCTGGCCACCGTGCCTTCCCCAGGTGATGACCCCGTCCCTTTTGTGTAGCCCTGGCTGCTGCTGGGCCCTCTGCCTGGTCACRCTCTGTTCCCCGTCACCCCACTCTCCAGTGGTCTGACCTCAGATGGCCAGCCCCGGCCACCACTTGCCCCACACTCCTCTCCCATTTTGGGTCCCCATCAGACACAGTAGACACCTCTATGCCTCTCYCCGGTTCACCCAGAGGGGCTGTCCCCCCACTGTGTCTGTTGAACCCCTGCACGTGGGGCAGACCCGTCTGTGGCCAGGGCCCAAGGAGGTTCCACTGAGCAGTGAATGAATGAATCCAGGGCGGTGGCAAAGAGCCTGCTCTCCTGTTCTGAGGCCGCCTGGCCTTGCTGTGTGGCCTCCGCCAGTGCCTGGAGCCTCACATCCAGTCTCTGGGGGGTCCTGGGGTGACAGATYGCCCGCGGGTTGGGAGGTCCCCGAGGTCGCGGGTGGCCACACTCACCTTCTGCAGCCGCAGGGTGCTGTTCTCCAGCGCCTTCTCCAGCTGTCGCATCCGCTGGGCCCGCCAGGCGCCCAGGGAGGCCGAGGGCGACGCGGGGGACACGTCCCTCTGGAGGCTGTCGGGGCTCCCGGGGTCCCCGGGCGGGCAGAGCTGCGGGTCGGACAGCACGAAGGTGTAGCTGCACGGGCCGCTCTGGACCAGGTGCACCTGGCGCTGCGCGGCCGCCTCAGGTCCCCTCCTTTGGGCTGCAACCATGGTGGCCACCGCGAGGAGGAGGCCGCCCAGCAGCATGGCTGGCCGGGAGAGCATCCGGGACGCGGTGCCGGCGGGGGTGGGGGTCGGCGCTGGCGGTGCTCAGGCCACCGCGGGGACAGCACAGCCCCTGCCGAGGGAGCRCCGCCCAGCCCCGTGCCGGCTCTGCGCGCGGCTATTTATGCTCCYCGGTCCAGCTGCTGGGCTTCCTGTCGCCCTGGCCTCGGCGCCCACCCCCAGGCACCCCTCACTGCTGTCCTGTCGCGTCCCTTCCTTCCTCCCGCTCCTGCCCGCAGGCCTGGCTCAGCCTCCAGGCCTCGGGACCTCTGCTGTCCAGCCGGGCCTGGCCTCCCTGCGGGAGGGGAGGGGAGGGGAGGGGAGGGGAGGGGAGGGGAGACACGGACAGCACACTCACACCCGCTTCCCGGCCCTCGACCCGTGCCTCCCAAGGACCCAGCGCCTCCCCCTTCCCAGCCCCTCCACCGTCCCCTCTGGTTCCATGGGACAGCCATGGGACAGCTGAACTCCAGGGAGCCACCCCCAGCCCCAGAACAAAGAGGGGAGGGGGTGGGGYGAGGCCAGAGAAGTGGGTGCCCCTGGGGGCTGGCTCCTGTCCTCACTTTTCCCTGGGCCTGGGCGATGTCATGCCCTGGGGCTGGCCCTGGCTCAGCCGCTGTGACATAATGAGTTGTCACGTCCTGGGCTGTCCCGGGGCTGCCTGGGGCTGGAGTGAGGCGGTGGATTGTGGGGAGAAGAGCTTGGGGTGYTGAAGTGTCTTGGCCGAGCCCCCCACTCCCACCCCCCAGACCCAGGGGAGGCTAGAACTAAATTTCCCCTCCACGCTTTGCCGGGACACCTCAGGTGGGCAGCTCTGGGCCTCTGCCCCCTGACTGTAGACTGGTGTGACCCCCGTCCCTCACGTGGGGAGGGCGTGTGAGTGTGGAGACTGAGGAATTCTGTTTGTCGGTTACAATCTGGCTCCACTACCTATCAGCTGTGTGACTTTGGAAAGTCACTTAACCTTTCTGTGCCTTCGTGGTGCATGAAAATCAAATAAGTTAGGGAAGTGCTGGCACCAGGTGAGCACAGAGTCAGTGTTTTCTGTTCCATGTCGGTGTGTCTTCCGCCCCCAGCCCACGGAGTTCAGATCCCAGGAGGGCAGGTTGTGTCCCTGGGGCCACAGTTGCCGGGCCAACACGGCCAGGTCAGTGGGCTCTCCGGAGTGGGTGGCCTTTGGGCCTCTCTCTCTGCCTCTTTCCCGAGGTCCACTGGGCTGTGCCGTGCTGTGTTTTCCCGAATCCTGGTGGAGATTTGAATGGGCAGCGGTCCTCCTGAACAGGGCTCACCTGGGGGCCTGGGGACACTGAGCCAGGTGTGGGGCTCTGGCAGGAAGAGCAGCCACAGCTGGGTCAGCCACCAGCAGGGCCTGGCCTTCCTGTGTGCGCAGGGCCAGCGCTGCCTCAGTTCCCTCCAGGGTGGACGAGGCCCCGTGAGGGGGAAGCGCACTGCTACAGGGCCAGAGGCACGAACCCCAGTGCCGGGTGCAGCCCAGCCCAGAGTGGGTGGCGCTGTCACGACAACGGTGCTGGCGGAGCAGGTTGGTGATCCCAGTTAGGCCGGAGCTTTATTCTCCTCATTTTATAAAAGGGAAAAACYGTCCTCCACCTGGAGCAACTGAGTGATTTGCCCAAAATCATATGAGGAAGCAGCTTCACCCCTCTGCAGGAGGGATGTAGGCAGGAACACAAGTGCCCAGTGGATGTGGGGGTGTGCCCCTTCTGCTTGGGACCCAAACTGGGCCCTGCCCACCTCTGTGCCTTCCCTTCAGCTCTGCCTTCTCAGTGCTTTGCCTCAGGACCTTTGCACACGCTGCTCTCACTTTCCAGAGCTTTGCTGTCCACCCAGCGCTGTTCCTTGTTTCCTTATTGCTCCAGTCACTGTGGCTGCCAACAGATCACCTCTGTGCTGAGTGTCATTTCCTCCTTCCCCTGTAGCACCTGGGCTGCCCTGGTGGCTTCAGGCGGCCGGGTGTCTCACAGGGACGCTGAGGGCTACGAAGATGCTCCCCCGGGAGCCGGGAGGAGACGGTATCATCGTTCAGGACCTATTCAGAAGCCACTTGCGTTCTGTCCGGGGCCCATAGATGACAGAGCTGGCTCTGCCCAGGAGAGCTTCTCCCTTCCCCTGTCCCTGTCCCTGCTGTCCCACCAGACCTCCTGCCCTCTCCTCTCTGTGGAGGGTGGACTGGAGCCAGTCTGTCTGGACTGGAATCCTGGCTGTGCCTGTTGGGTGTGGTTTTGCCCAATTTGCTCAACCTCCCTCTGACCCTCRGTTTCTTCTTCATTGCCTAGTCATGTTGCCTAAGAGGTTAAAAAGCTCATCCCCGGAAAGGGGTTAACRCAGAGCCTGCTGCACATTATGTGCTCAATAAATGACAGCTGTCACCATTCCCCTCTGCTGGGATCTGAGTGTCGCCTGTCCTCTGCTCAGGCTCACTGCCGTTTCCCTGAGGGGGGCGGGGAGCTGGAGCTGGAGGCCAGGTCACTTGACTCTGCCAACCTGTGGCTACCATGGAGACGGAGCCTGGAGAATCCACTAATAACATCTGAAGACTTTCACTGTTGCTCAGCTGGTGCGAAACGGGGAGCTGATTGGCCAGTGTCACTGAAAAGTTCAAGGGGTCCGGCTTCAGATATGGCTGGATCTAGGTGTTTAAAYGCTACTGGGATTCCCGCTCCCCCCGCCCCAGGCCCTGATTTTCCTCTGTGGGCTTCACCCYCTGACAGTCACCACCGCTGGTAGCAGCAGCTGCAATCTCTCAGTCCCTGAAATGGATTGCCTGTTTCCTGATACCTCTGGGGACAGTTCCACTTTAGGTCACAAGGCCATTCCTGGACTGGTCACTACAGCCAGAGGAATGGAATAATTGGGTTCATCAGACTGGGCCATGGATCCAGGCCTGGAGCTGTGGGTTCAGGTCCACTTTGTGGGACCCAAAGGCACTGATGTGGGGTGAAGTGAYCAGAGGGGGTTGGACGTTGGTGGGCACGAAGCACCTGTCCCCTGCCCACTGCCTGCCCAGCCTGGCCATTTGCCAAGTGAATCCATTTCCCCCCATGAACCAGGGGAGCATCAGGGTCACTGGGGKGTCCAGGGTCCTCAGGGCTCATTTAGGTCACCAGGAAACTCMTGTCCACCAGGAAGGCCACAGCCCAGAGCCACGCCAGGATCTCTGGTCCTGAAAGAAACTGATCTTTTCCTGGGAATGAGGGGGACCACAAGCCGATCTGGGCTCATCAGGTGTCTGCATTCAGAAGAAGAGGATTGTCACCAGCCTGGGTCCCCACTGCTAGCTGGCTGTCATCAGTTGGACACCAGTTTCCTGCCGTCCGATGCTTCTCTGGCCCCACATCTCAGGGCCCAGGTGGATGTGGAGGGTTGTAAACTGGTCAGCTTACGTYGGTCCCCAAGGCCATCACCTGGTATCCCCACAGCCATTGACAGGCGCGTGGTGAGGTCCTGGCAGGAAGCCCTGGGGCTGAGGRCAATCCCGGGGGCCAGTCTGTCAGAGTCCCCAGGAGGCCAGATACGAATCTTTGGAGCAAGTAATCAGTGTCCCTGTGAGTATGTCCACCCAAACAACAATCTGTCACCTGTCCCCTCTCTGCCTCCACCCCCAGACCCAGAGCCTCAGGACAAGCCGGGGTGGGCGTGGCCTCTGCTGTGAGCTGGACCCAGGGTTCAGGGCGCCCCTGGGGCTGAACCCTGATCCTGCTCCTTTGGCAGGTGAGACCGGGCTTCCGCATCTGCGGGGAGAACGGTCCTGGGCGGGGCCCCGGGTCTAGGTCCCTGCACTGGGTCGCAAGGCACTCAACTTCGTGCACTGTGACGGTTTGGACGGGAGGCGTCCCCCACCGCTCAGGTGTGAGGACGCAGGGGTGCTGGAGTGGGAGCCCTGGGAGGTGACAGCCGGGACCCAATCAGYGGATCGATCCACTGAGGAGGGTGAACTGGGGGTGACTGTCCTGAGGTGTGGCTGGAGGAAGTGGTCCCTGGGGACGTGCCGTGGGCTTCAGGCTGGGTCCCTGGTGAGTGGAGCGCTCTCCTCTCTGCTCCCCGGTGCCAYACCAGGGCGGCTGTCCCCCCACCTGTGATGTCCTGCCTCACTTGGGCCATGGAGTCGGCCGACCGTGGGYTGAACCTCAGAAACCATGAGCCCAAATAAACCTTTCCCCCTCTCCCTTGTGCCTGTCGGGTCTTTGGGTCTCAGTGACAAATCAGCCGACCCAAATGCTTTACGCCTCTGTGGCCACGGACAGGTTCAGCAAGAAGGCTCAGCTCTGCTCTGTCTGCGTTGAAGCAGCCACTCGAAGGCTGAGGTCACGAGTCACTGAAGCTCCTTCACCCACACAGCAGACTGTCACCCCCCCCCCCCAGCCATGACATCCACCTCCTCGMGTGGCCGGGGCTCCAAGAGCAAGAATCTCCAGGGACAGTGTCGGCAGAAGACACACAAAGTCATGCAGGGCAGGGTTCCTCTGCCTCCTGTTCCCAGGGGCAGTCAGAGTCACGGCCAAGTTCAGGGGAGGGGCAGGCGGTGGCCCTCGATGGACAGCATGCAGGATGGGACACACAGCTGAGGCCACTTTGGAGAGGTCCACTGGCCAGGGAGGCTGGGTTCAAAAGGCCTTCAAGTGCTCGGCACCTGAGTTCTCCAAGGATGGTGACAGTGTCCCCTGGCTGTCACTGGRAGGACCCAGAGCCCCTTTGCACAGACCCTGTGACAGCTCAAGGTRCAGGAGGAGGCAGAACGGTTCCCACTGGGCCTGCCAGAGAAACTGGCCCATAAGTGYGTGGGGATTTGTCCCAAGTCACCCAGTCCCAGCGCCCAGTCCCAGCAGACGGGCCTCGGACGGACGCAGCAGCCTCCGCTGTGAGCGACGCTGCCTCTTTCTGGGTGCCCTCCCTGGCCTCCGTCTCCCCTCTCCACCGCGGGACTGCCCGGCTCTGGTCCTCAGGGGAGCCGGGTGGAAGATCTGGTTCCCCTCKGCCGTGCC